GCTTCTATGGCTCTTGTGTCCAGCGCTTCTTACCTTAATAAAAGGAGTAGAGGTGATAAGTAGAGGTGATGATGATGATGATAATGTCGGGGCTGAATTGCACTTTGAAGGTCTCAAGTGCATTTGCAATCCTTGCTTGCAAATGACAGGTTCAGCGTGGTGACAAAGCATGGACCTGAACAAACCAAAGTGTTCCATGCACCAGTGCCTGTGAACCAAGTATTTTATGCACAGAAATCCATTGCTTTTGGAGATATGCAGCACTCCCCATGCATATGCATGAACTCATGAAATACATGAATCACAATAATTTTTGGTAAGACATCTATGTTAATTGTGCAAAGCTTCCCCACTGTTGTATTTTGCTAACGTACACCCATAGATATGCTACTGGAAATACAGTGGTGCCTCGCTTAACGATTGCTTCGTACAATGAAAAATTCACTTAACGATGGCTTTTTTGGAGCAGTCTTGTGCTTCACTTAACGATTTTCCCTATGGGTGATTTTCGCTTAACGATTTCGGGACCATGCTTCACTTAACGATGACAGTTTTAGGTCCCCTTGTTTCACTTAACTTTTTTTTATGTTTTTGCTATTTTTAAAATATTCTAAAATGTTTTAAAAATGTTTAAGATGCTTGGAATCGTTAGTGCACCTAATAAAACCTTCGTTAACTTAATTTGGCTTTGTTCTGAGTCTTTTTGAATTTTTTGTGAATTTTCCCCCCATTGAAATAGGCTTCAATGCATTTCAATGCAGGAACTGCGTTTCGCTTAACGTTTTTTCTTATGGCGATTTTCGCTTAAGGATGGTAATCCATTCCAATTGGAACGGATTATCCAGTTTTCAATGCATCTCTATGGGAAATGGTGTTTCGCTTAACAATGTTTTCACATAGCGATGTTTTTTTTTTTGAACCAATTAAAATCGTTAAGCGAGGCACCACTGTAATTCCACCAAAGTTAAGAGGTACAGTGGACCTTTGATTTACAGACGGCTTGACTTACAGACTTTTTGAGTTACAGACTTCTCTGGCCGCAAAATTTAGGTTTGACTTGCAGCCTGAGATTTGACTTACAGACCAGAAAAAAACCAAAATGGAACAAAAATGGCCTGTTACGGGATTAATTGGTTTTCAATGCACTGTAGGTCAATGGAGACTTGACTTACAGACTTTTTGACTTGAGAACCGCCTTCCAATACGGATTAAGTTCTCAAGTCAAGACCCCAGTGTACCATTCTTTCTAGGCAGTTCCCTAATGCCAAGATGAATGAACAAGCTAATAATGTACCAAGGGAAAGTATTTCTATCCCATCCATATGACTGTGGGTGATAATGCATACTCATTCCTCAAGGCCCAAAATGACTTCTTGGAATTAGAATTTAACACGAATACAATCAATATAGCTAACTGGAACCTATTTTGTATTCCCTCGATGGTTCCAACTGATGGATAGATGTTCTATATGTTCCCGCACAGAAATATTGGTCAGGATCCTATTAGTGATCATATAGAGTTTACATAATTTGCAGAGGCTAATTGCAGCTAATTGATGAAGTGTCAAGGAGAATCTGAGATGTGCAATCAAGTGTGTGCCTGGGCATATAACCAAGATGTGCCCTGGCACCTCATCAGTTAGCCATAATTAGCTGTAGCAGGTTATGCAAACTTTTTGCAACATCAGTGAGATTCCAGCATTGTGGACTAGATGTTAAGAAAGAGTTGCAAGATGATATAATCTTTACCAGGGTGTAAAACTGGATTCTATCAGCACCTCTTTTTTTACATGCTCTGGTGCTGAATCCTCAGGCAAACTTATATGTTATGTTCTGCTAGTATGTTGCATGTTAGTTATATACCAATATACAACTGTTTGATTCAGCAAACTGACTTCTACTGAAGACAGGATTATCCCAAATCTTGCTGTGACACCAATAAATAACATAAGTTTAGCTTCACAAATCACAATGTTATAGTACAGTGGTGCCTCGCTTAACGATTGCTTAATATAACAAAAAATTCGCGTAACGATTTTTTTCGGAGCGATCTTACGCTTCGTGTAACGATTTTCCCTATGGGCGATTTTCGCTTAACGATTTCGGGACCATGCTTCGCTTAACGTTTTTGGTTTTATGTCCCCTTGTTTCGCTTATCGTTTTTTTGACAGCCCCGTTTTCGCTATTTTTAAAATATTCTAAAATGTTTAAAAATGTTTAAAATGCTTGGAATAGTTAGTGCACCTAATAAAACCTTTGTTAACTTAATTTGGCTTTGTTCTGAGTCTTTTAATTTTTTGTGAATTCCCCCCCCCCCATTGAAATAGGCTTCAATGCATTTCAATGGGGGAACTGTGTTTCGCTTAACGTTTTTTTTTTTGGCGTTTTTCCCTTAAGGACGGTAATCCATTCCAATTGGAACGTATTATCCAGTTTTCAATGCATCTCTATGGGAAATGGTGTTTCGCTTTAACGATGTTTTCACATAGTGATTTTTTTTTTGGAACCAATTAAAATAGTTAAGCGAGGCACCACTGTACTTTGGAAAAAATGACAATAATACTACAATCGCAAATTTTACGTACATATTTTGGATGGAATTACCAGAAATGCAATTAAATTGCCTTCTAGATTATGCTCTGCTATTGTTCCTGCTCGTATGCCAATAATAAACAAATAGAATTATATTTTTTACAAACAAAATTCAGTCATGCAGGTCAATGAATGGCTAGGTTTTCCATTTCTGAAGTACAGGAAGTTAAAGTCCATCCCTGATTTGGCAGAACATGTTTGGCACAATCTGTCCTTGGTGACTTGGTACAAGACTGCTTTGTTGTATTTATTGAATTTGGATTTTGGTAGCCATAATTCACAGGCTTTGGGTAAGACAAGGGTTTTCTCAGAGCTTGGAAAGTTATTTCGTAAATAACTTGTTCCTTTTATACATTGCATTATTTATAAAAATGCAATTTGTTGCCATCCTTTTGTTTCTGAAAAATGTCTTAAATTTCGGAGAAAAAAATCTTTTAGTTTGATAAGTGAATGGCATAACACTTGGAAAATTCTGTTCCAAATGCATCTAAACCACCCTAAAAAGTAATTGAAAGAGTCATTAGAAAATGCTACTCATTAGACCAAATATATGTATAATGTCATTCCCATTCATTATGCGAACTTTATAATATAATGGTTGTTGTGGGTTTTTCGGGCTCCTTGGCAGTGTTCTGAAGGTTGTTCTTCCTAACATTTTGCCAGTCTCTGTGGCCGGCATCTTCAGAGGACAGCACTCTGTGCTCTTGTCCTCTGAAGATGCCTCTGAAGATGCTGGCCACAGAGACTGGAGAAACTTTAGGAAGAACAACCTTCAGAACACGGCCAAAGAGCCTGAAAAACCCACAACAACCATTAGATCCTGGCCATGAAAGCCTTCGCGAATACATTTAGAATATAACTTTGCCATTCCCTTGTTACATCCCCTCCCTTTAGAGTCTGGGTTGGATAACATATCTTTTGGCTAATCAAAAAGTTACCAAGAATATAATTTTTGTTGTTGCTTTGAGTCGTACAGGACTCTTTTTTTAAGCATTTATGATATAACAGTTGGAACACTGCGTGAAAAAAAAACCTTAAATTTTTTTTAATGGCTTTATGTTTTGCCATTGTTCTTGAAAGCAAAACTGAGTTTAATGTATTCGCGAAGGCTTTCACGGCCGGGATCTAATGGTTGTTGTGGGTTTTTTGGGCTTCTTGGCCGTGTTCTGAAGGTTGTTCTTCCTAACGTTTCGCCAGTCTCTGTGACCGGCATCTTCAGAGGACAGCAAACTGTCCTCTGAAGATGCCGGCCACAGAGACTGGTGAAACGTTAGGAAGAACCACTTTCAGAACACGGCCAAGAAGCTCGAAAAACCCACAACAACCAAAACTGAGTTTGCCTATGCAGTGCTGAGGAAATGTAATTCCCCAGGTTATACTCCCAGGAACATTTTCCAAGTAATATTCAAGAATTTTCAACTGATAGGTAGGTGTAAGATAAATAGTTCAGTTTGCTAACGTAGAATTGTTACCAGTTTAGTACATAAACAGTGCTTTGCATGGAAAGGTCTAATTTGAACTAAAGGTGTTCAGTAAAATCAATCTTTTTTAAAAAAGGCTTTTCCTTTGCTGGGCTTGTGAAGTTTACAACTGTTGAATGCACTTTTGTGTTGGGAATGCCTCCCAGCTTACAGCCAGGAAACAGAGTGATGAATTGACTTATTTCAAACAGGTATGTTAGACATACAGAGCAAGTCTTTTGCATATGTAGGAATAGCCTTTCTTATCTGTTTGGTTTAATAGAAGGATTTTTGAAAAGCAAGATCTGAAGTTATGCTAATTATCACTTTAATTATTTTTAAATCCTGTGCCCATAACTGAAGGGAAACCTAATCGGATGTGGATGTATGTCAATTTCCTAAGGTCTTTCCCTACAAAAGGAATTTATTATCCTTTAAAAATGGGTATATTGGGGAATGACGTATATGCAAAGCAAATATTTCATCAATACTTTTCTTGCAATTAGTAAACAAATAGTTTTTAAAGAAGATTTGGATTCAAGCTGCTTATTTCTTTCATGTAAAGCATGTTATGAGTTAAGAGTCTTGTATAGCCATATAATAAATCTATGAAATCACAATCCTAGAAGTAAAATCCTGCATATGAGCGGAGTAGCAATACAGAGCCAGAGTAGATGATATAGTCAGTATGTAATTGGAAACACAGCCAATGGGTATAAGTTGTAAAAGACACCTGTTTAAATTTGTCTTCTGTTTGGGCATTGAGAAGTGAACATAGGGCTCATTTAACCTTATTGCTCAGACATGCAGCTCTGAAGAAATAAATTGCTGAAAGGAAAACATGCTATCAAATTCTAATGGAGAAGTTAAAAGCTTGTCTAGTTTGACTCACAATTCCAGATTAAAACAAATGCTTGGTCAACCAAATTCTTGTTCTTTCTTTTACAGGAAACTGCATATTAGAGAAACCCTTCAAACACTGAGGAGTTAATCTTCACAACTCTTGGTAAGATTTCACTTTATCCTGATCTTTAATATTAGTGCATATTCTTCTATTTATCACTTTTGATAACTTCTGGATTCGTCGTTCTACGGTGCACTCGCTAAGCGAGGCACCACTGTATTTGCAAGATGTCTATCTGTCAGGTGGAACTTTCAGAATGGAGAGTCATGGGATTTGTAGTCAAAGGAATCAAAAGATCTCATCCCTATAACTCATAGTGGAAATCCCCTCTACTAATACTTCTGTGTGATGTAGTAAACAGAGTGTTGGACGAGGACTTAAGAGAACTGAGTTCAAATCTCCATCTGGCAATGGGAACTCACTGACAATGGTAAACCACTCCTTGAACACATCTTATATGTCTTCAAAATCCTATTAGGGTTGTTGTAAGTCGGATGCGACTTGACAGCACATGGCAATAACAAAGTCTCTCTGAAATTGATGGAAGAATTCGCTGTAGACATTGTAAGTTGCATGATGAATCACATAACTCAGTATTCAAGAGATAATTTCTATAGGTGATTTCTTAACTTAAAGCAATTCACCTTCAAATATTGTGCCATTCATTTTATGCCTCTATAATTAGGCAAGATTATTCAGGCTTCTGAAATGTTAAGCAAACAATTATTCTAGAATCAGATATTTTAAAATAATCAAGAATGCATTTACGTAGACCAAATAAGGCTCTCTGTGTACTAAACAGCATATACGGTAATATCCATCTGTAAAATAATCTAAGTACATTGTTTCTGAACAAAACTTAATGAATGTGCAGTGTGTAATCTGCTGTTTATTATGTTTGCACTTTTGTAATGCATTTTAAAATCTACGGACAAAAATTATTTGATTGGCTGTTGATTTACAATGCTGTAGCACACAGTTTTGCCAAGAGCATGACTTTCCTTTGTTTTCATGTTCTTTTTCTGGAGAGCTAGTCACCTGTGTTAGGGCAAGGTACATTCTGCTTTATTAAAACAAACCCTGGGAATCTAAGAACATTCAGCCCCATCTGTCCCTGGCTGAATTGAAGAATGTGATTTATGTTGCAGCCAGCCATAAAAATAAATGATATTGCTTTTAATCAATAAATGTTCCCTCAATCTACAACTTGAACAATAAAAACTAACAATTTAGCATTTATCTTTTTGAGTTAAATAAACTGACCTAAGGTTTGTGCCTTCCCAGAGTTGTCAGTAGGAAACTGGTATTGTTTTTATCACAACCAGGGCTCAGCCATTCATTATTGGCTTCATCCTGCTCAAGGAAGGTAGCCTTCACCCACTCCCCACACCATCACAGCCTCCTTCATTTAAGCTTCTAGTTTAGCTTCACTCACCTAAATCTGAATCCACCACCTAGGTCAGACCTGGGCAAAGTGCGGCCCGTGGGCCACATACGGCCCACAGCAGTAAGCAAAACTCACGATATCTGATGCTGGGATCTCGCGAGTTTTGACTGTTACTCTTGAGCCACAGGCTTCACAGCCTGCGGCTCAAGAGGCCAGAAGTGATCCTTGCGCAGGAGACGTGACATGTCACCTGCACAGGATAGAAGACAGTCAGAGAGGAAGGCCGCGGGGGAACGGAGGACAGGTGAGCTAGCTCAGTGTCAGGTTTTTTCCCTCT